GTTGAGTTTTGTGTGGATGAAGTGTTCGAAGATCGAGGATGTCTCGATATGAGGATAAGGAGGAGAGACAAGAGCTCAAGCTTGGGGATGCCCAAGGCACCCCAAGATATTCAAGGTGACTCAAGCATCTAAGCTTGGGGATGCCCCGGAAGGCATCCCATCTTTCTTCAACAAGTATCGGTATGTTTTCGGTTTCGTTTCGTTCATGTGATATGTGCAAATCTTGGAGTGTCTTTTGCATTTAGTTTTCACTTTTCTTTTATGCACGATGCTGGTATGAGATAGTCCATGGTTGATTTATAGAATGCTCATTGCACTTCACTTATATCTTTTGAGTATGGCTTTATAGAATGCTTCATGTGCTTCACTTATATCATTTGAAGTTTGGATTGCCTGTTTCTCCTCACATAGAAAACCGCCATTTGTAGAATGCTCTTTTGCTTCACTTATATTTGTTAGAGCATGGGAATATCCTTTGTAGAGAGAATTAAACTCTCTTTCTTCACTTATATCTATTTAGAGAGATGACAGGAATTGGTCATTCACATGGTTAGTCATAAAATCCTACATAAAACTTGCAGATCACTGAATATGATATGTTTGATTCCTTGCAATAGTTTTGTGATATAAAGATGGTGATATTAGAGTCATGCTAGTGGGTAGTTGTGGATTGTAGAAATACTTGTGTTGAAGTTTGTGATTCCCGTAGCATGCACGTATGACGAACCGTTATGTAACGAAGTTGGAGCATGAGGTATTTTTTGATTGTATTCCTTTGTGTGGAGGTCGGGGGCGCGCGATGGTTAACTCCTACCAACCTCCCTCCTAGGAGCATGCGTGTAGTACTTTGCTTCGATGGCTAATAATTTTTTGCAATAAGTATGTGAGTTCTTTATGACTAATGTTGAGTCCATGGATTATACGCACTCTCACCCTTCCATCATTGCTAGCCTCCTCGGTACCGTGCATTGCCCTTTCTCACCTCGAGAGTTGGTGCAAACTTTGCCGGTGCATCCAAACCCCGTGATATGATACGCTCTAGCTATCACACATAAGCCTCCCTATATCTTCCTCAAAACAGCCACCATACCTACCTATCATGGCATTTCCATAGCCATTCTGAGATATATTGCCATGCAACTTTCCACCATTCCATTTATTATGACATGCTTGATCATTGTCATATTTCCATGCATGATCATGTAGTTGACATCTTATTTGTGGCAAAGCCACCATGCATAACTTCATACATGTCACTCTTGATTCATTGCCCATCCCGGTACACCGTCGGAGGCATTCATTTAGAGTCATATTTTGTTCTAGTAACGAGTTGTAATCATTGAGTTGTAAATAAATATAAGTGTGATGATCATCCTTCATAGAGCATTGTCCCAAAAAAAGGGAAAAAAAAGAAAAGCCAAAAAAAGAGAACGCCAAAAAAAAGAGAAAGAAAAAAGGGACAATGCTACTATCTCTTTTTCCACACTTGTGCTTCAAAGTAGCACCATGATCTTTATGATAGAGAGTCTCTTGTTTTGTCACTTTCATATACTAGTGGGAATGTTTCATTATAGAACTTGACTTGTTATATTCCAACAATGGGCTTCCTCAAATTCCCTAGGTCTTCGTGAGCAAGCAAGTTGGATGCACACCCACTTAGTTTCATTTGTTGAGCTTTCATATATTTATAGCTCTAGTGCATCCGTTGCATGGCAATCCCTACTCACTCACATTGATATCTATTGATGGGCATCTCCATAGCCCGTTGATACGCCTAGCTGATGTGAGACTATCTTCTCCTTTTTGTCTTCTCCACATAACCCGCATAATCATATTCTATCCCACCCATAGTGCTATGTCTATGGCTCACGCTCATGTACTGCGTGAAAGTTGAAAAAGTTTGAAAACTCTTAAGTATGAAACAATTGCTTGGCTGAAACTGGGGTTGTGCATGATTTGAATATTTTGTGTGACAAAGATGGAGCATAGCCAAACTATATGATTTTGTAGGGATGAACTTACTCTAGCCATGTTATTTTGAGAAGACATAATTGCTTAAGTTAGTATGCTTGAAGTATTATTATTTTTATGTCAATATTAAACTTTTATCTTGAATCTTCCGGATCTGAACATTCATGCCACAATACAGAAAATTACATTGAGAAATATGCTAGGTAGCATTCCACATCAAAAATTCTGTTTTTATCATTTACCTACTCGAGGACGAGCAGGAATTAAGCTTGGGGATGCTTGATACGTCTCCAACGTATCTGGAGGCCGGGCGAACTGATGGCAGAGTCAAGCGCCATGGCAGGAAAGAGGGGGAAGACGAAGGAGGCTTAGACGGTGGAGCAGATGATGGATCGACTAGATCTAACGAAGAAGGAGAAGACGAAGCTTGTCATTGACGAGGAGGAAGAAGAGAGCGTTGAAGAACCTTATGCACTCATCGGGAAGATTTTGTATCGGAAGGCTTTTCACCTGAACACCATTGAGGAGGCCCTGCGCCTTGCGTGGGGCAACCCGAGGGGATTGAACTTCCGGCCAAAGGGAGAGAACGTTTTTCTTGCTAGTTTCGCCATCAAGCCACTACAAGAAATATGTCAACTAGTGACGTTCTGTCAGTGACCCTGGAAGAATTGGTCATAGATCTATGACCATTTTAGACCAATTAGTCAAAAGCTGTTCGGGAGGCTCCAAACCCTAAACTATAACGACCATTTTGGTCAGAAAGGTCATAATTTCCTTACACGAAATGGTCATAAAGCAGATATCACTGGTCCGCTGCCTTATTTCTAGCTGATCACGACCAATATAGATGGTCATAACCTTGTAAATTGTGATGGGTTGCTATGACTAGGCGCCACCTCATCAGTTTTGCCTATGTGTCATGTCCATGTGGCAATTTTTGCCCCAGGTTGTGAAGCAACCTGTATTTCTGTCAATCCAAAATTTCCAAAAAAAATCTCATAAATTCTTTAGGTCATATCTTCGTCAAATATGTAAAAACCTTCCTTACCTAGTTCAAAAATAATTCAACAATATTCATTTTCCTATTCTGTTCAGAACAACACTTTGTGAAGGAAGTACCACTTTGGCATGTCGAAATAGTATCCATTTTCTATGGTGCTTTCCTATGCCCAAATAACCATCCTCCACCAAATGCCACCTCAATCCATTCATTATTTTGAGCACAGCTTCAACATTCGTAATTAAGTTGCCAAAAGGTGGAGTAGGATCACATTTTCGACTAGGAAAATCAAAGGAAGGGGTCTATTGTGTAGTGAATACCAATGCGCAATGCATTTTTCAAGTTTGGTTTCATCATAAATCATGTGTGGTCTGACAGACTCACTTCTCAAGAATGACATCAACCTTGATCAAGCATTTAGTAAACAAGATTGACACCGTGGACAATGGATACCATAAATTAACACATCAATGGATCCATGCCCTTTATTTTAATAGGGTATCATATTTATGTTGCCGCTTATCCCCCTTTGCACCCTCGCTAGTGGTGGCCTCAGTGCGCGTGTGCTCGCTCGCTCGGAATAAGATGACAAATCTGTTGTTTTCCCCCTGCAAGGTTTTTCAGGGGTGTGCATGTGTGGTTTTGATGTTTTATTTCGTCTCAATTTGATTTTAGTGAGGTGTTTATTTGCAATCGGGATCGCCGCCGGTACGAAAGAAAACGGACCTTGGATTATTTAATAGGTAAAATAACATCATATTTAGATTCTACGTATTTTTCTAATCAAATTTCAGATATAACATGTTAAAATCAAAGTTATGGTTTAAAAGATATGGATAATTTAGAAAAACATTTGTTTTAGATGAACCGCTGATGTATTTGCCTAAAATCCAGGGGGTTTTCTGTTAAAACACAAAAATGATTTGTTTGCCTTCAATATGTACCGCGGGTTAATTACCTAAAAAGGCAGGAGGGTTTCTCAAAAATGCAAAACCCGGTTTGTCCATGACTTAAATGTGTGATGCGGGTTAATTCATTGAAAAAGCAAGGGGTTTTCTCTGAATTTATGTGACGGACGGGTAGAAGCACTAATCACTTTGTTAGTATTAGTAGGCATAGATTAAGCCAAGGCATGCCCAAATGTGAACAAAGGGAGAGCGAGAGAGAATCAATCACGTGGTGTAGACGGTAGAGTCCATGCTTGCCACTCTGCCAGGTTGAATACAAAAATTCAGAAACAGTGAAAACAGTAATTCAAATTAGAGTCGATAGATCCATAGTTATACCTTCAGACGGTTAGGGGACCCTCTGCAAACCATTGTGGCCGCACCACCAGATGCAAGGAATCATGTCACAAGATGCAGGTAGCTATGAAATTTCATGCTAGTAGACTAATCATCAGAGAGTTAAACTGAGAATACAAGTAATCGTCCCTAATCGTTACCAGAACTACTTGGTTTGTGAAGACAAATCATTAATGCACCAGTATGGTTGTTAAATCCTCGTGAGCAAGACACCATTCAGCAGCATCATACTTTCTGGGCTATAACCATTTACAGATTGATAATTGTACATGTTTTTTGTGCTTGTGTCTCCGTTTCATCAGAATAAATCTTTTTCATATCTGTTTATATGCTTGAGAAAATGAGGAAAAGGAGCATCATCGAGGTCAAGCTAGGCATCATCGTTTCGATTTGATTTGATTTAATTTTTCGGACAAACCAAAAACAAAGGAGCACCCGCGAGGGAGGGATCCATCCATCGATGACGACAAGTTTTTCCTTCCTTCCTCTCATATCCAAGGACGCAGTTCCGAAAAAAGGCGTCCTTAAGACACGTCTGGAAGGCAAAGGTGTCCTTGAGACTCCGTTCAAGTACACATTGGAATGTCAATGTCTGTAGTCTACGCATGCAAGAATTTAACACATATTGTGGGATTGTTATAAGCGTGTGCTAAAGCATTGCAATTAATATCTCTCTTATTTCAACGAGGAAACCATTTCAGCATACATAGTTAGGATCAGTTTATTCAGTGCCCGAATGGATGGCTGTGATCATCACAAATTGAGCAATGGCACCCATTGTCTGTACAGATGGAAGTCCAACTACAGAGACCTACACAAGTAGAATGCTTGTAATAGTCATCATAATAGTTTTTACATTTGTCCTCACACTCGCTTCTATCACACGCTGTACCCCCCGGGGGCCAATCCCTGGAACTACAAGTTGTTTCAGCATCTGAAATATACCAATCGACAGGAAGAGGGAAAAAACCATTCTTATTGGCAAAATTTGATGGAGAAAAATCGTTAAGCAAGGTACTATAAGAATATACTGTACCTGATGGTAGCACGAGAAACGTGAGGGTCAGGAGTAGCATAAGCGTTACCCTCATCTTGGCTTAGTATGGTGTTGACACAAGATGCTGCTGATAGTTGTCCCGGTTGTAGGATGAGATGCAGAAGATATGAAATGTCAAGCCTTTTTATAGTGGGTTGATACCAATCCAATATGTTAATTTAGGAATGCCATTAAAAATATGGGGGCCAAATTAATCACATTAAATGCATTAACATGAATCCAAATATAGATAACATTAATTTCATACCCCAAAATTGACAAGGACAATTAGCCAACGGATCACATGATGTATTTCTAGTTGGTACATAGGGAAACTAAAAAACTAGTTTGCGCATGCTTTGCATTTGTGTTGGCCTTGGTTTGAATGGAAGGCGTCCACTAAGTTGTGGGTTGGGCATGGGAACCCGTGTGATGAGGAAGACCTCAACTTTTTCTATGCCTCTACCACCATCATCGTTGAAAACGGCGCAAGGACGCCGTTCTGGGACTCTCCTTGACTTCTTGGCCGTAAGCCCAAGGACATCTCTCCACTCATATACGAGGCCTCTGCACGGAAGAATTGAAAGGTGCGGGAGGCCCTCAGGAATAACGCTTCGATCCTCAAGATCAAACCTCCTCCCACTGTTGTTTCCATCTAGCATACTAAATATCTCTTCACCCTTTGAATGCTTCTCGACGAGGTCCATCTTGATGAGCTCACTGAGGATGACATCCTATGGAATCACACGCTTTCTGGCCACCGCATGGTGGCCTCTGCTTACTAGGCGCATTGAAGAAAGAAAACAATGGCAACCAGTTTTCTAAATTTAAAATATGTTTATGGAAATAAAAAATGTTCGTGAATTTGAAAAAAAGTTCACGGATTTGAGACTTTTAATGAATATCAAAATTTTTGCACATTTGAAAAAAGAACAAATTTGAAAAATGTTCACAAAGTTGAAAAATTTAAGAATTTTATATATACAAAAAACCATTAATTTTGAAAAGTTCAAAAATAATTGAAAAATGTTCCATAATTTAAAAGACGTTCACAAATGTTAAAAAGGTTACAAACTTGAAAAGTTCTTGCCTGTAAAAAACAAATTTATAAATTTTCAATAAAAAACCAGAAAAAGAAAACAAAAGGAAAAAAAATGAAAAAAGCTTCCCATCACCGGCTGATGACATCCTGTGCGTCGACCTCTTCGACTGCTCGAGGAATGTCCAGTGAGCCATACATCCTCGTTATTGCACCTTATCTCCTCAGGCTTTCGTCTCCACGAAATCTCTCTCGTCACTCTTCTCTCCCAACAGCAAGCGCCACCAACCTCCCTTGTTTCTCAGCAGCAACCATCTTTCACTCTCACCATCCCGACTCCCATCTAGTGCTCGCCACCACTCAGCCAAGAGGGAGATGCACGCATGATTCTCTACCCTGCCGGAGGACGGCGCCTCCAGTCCACTTTCTCCTTCCCTCCTCCTCTCTCGTTACCCCTCTCTCCCCTGACCAACCTCCCATGGCACTGTGTCATGGGTCCCTTTCTCTTCCCTCATCCCCTCTCCTTACTCTCTCTCTCTCCACACACACGCACACACGCGCGCACACACACACACACACACACACACACGAGCTCTCGGCTGAGCTCCCATGGCGCTCTCTCCTCGGGTGTTTTTCTGCAACAAGAGCTCTCTTGAATTTTTTGTAACAAGACATTTGTTGCAAAAATAAATAAATTCCGCAGTAAGACCTGTGTTGCAAAAACATATTGCAACAAGAACCATGTTGCAATGATGGAGGCACCACTCGGCCACTCGATACACCAGGTCTGACGGCTCATGACCCACCAATCTTTTAAAAAGACCATCCGATGGACGCGTGGCACACACCATGAAAAAACAAAAAATAAACATAAAGGAAAAAAGAAGAAGCTAAAAATTCCGAAAAACCCAGGTGAAACCCCCCACCAAAACCTAGCCCAGAAAACCAATGGGAACATAAAGCATGGATTTTTGAATATGTTTGTGAAATATAATTTTTTAATGGATGTATTAAATGTTCGTGGATTAAAAAAAGGCCATGAATTTGAAAATAAGGTCAAAAATATAAAAACAAATAATTTTGAAAATTCAATATATTTAAAGAAGTCGTCAATTTGAAAAAGTTCAGGAATTTCAAAAAAAGTTCACAAAATCGAAATTTTTCATGACATTGAGAAAAGAAAATGAAAAAGTTCATGAATTTGAGAGAAGTTCACAAAAACTTGAAAAGGTTCATGAATTTGCAAAAAAGATTCACGAATTTGAGAAAAGTACGTGAATTAGAAAAATGTTCACGAAATTAAAAAAAGTGTGCAAAATTTAAAGGGTTAAATAATAATAATAATAAGCCAAAAAAGAAAAACGAAATAAAAAAAGTAAAAGGAAAAAACCAAAACAGAAAACCAATAAAATTGATTTGAGAGCTTCTATAAGGTTCACAAAACTGAACGTTGCAAATGGTTTGGTAAACTAAAAATTGGTATGGAGGGTTTGAGAAAAATATGGGATTTGCTTGCATATGGAATTCCCGGTAATCTTCTAGATGCGTATGCCCGGATGAGTGAGTCGACATGGCTTGAATCATTGTATAGGTTTTGCAAAGCTGTGGTAGCAGTGTTTGGCCCAGAGTACTTGAGAGAACCAGATGCTGCAGATATAGTCCAATTGTTGGCGATCAATTGATGAATCCAGAGGCTTTCTGCGAATGCTTGGTAGCATAGATTATATGCACCGGAAGTGGAAGAACCGTCTGTTTGCTTGATAGGGGTAGTATAAGGGGCATGTTAAAGTCTTCATGGTCATACTTGAAGCCGTGGCATCACAAGTTCTCTGGATTTGACACTCTTTCTTCGGCATGGCAGATTCTCACAATGACATAAAAGTGCTTCGGCGGTCTACGGTGTTCGCACGCCTTGCAGAACGCAATTGCGAAAAGGTCAACTTTGAGGTCAATGGCCACTGCTACAACAAGGGATACTACCTAGTTGATGGTATCTATATATCCTTAGTGGTCAACTCTTGTGAAGACTCCAGGCTGGTAGGAGAGAAGCGAGCTAGGTTTGCCCAAGCACAAGAGGGTGCTAGGAAGGATGTGGAACGTGCTTTCGGTGTGCTCCAATTTTGATGGGCTATTGTTTGTTATCCTGCCAGAACATGGAGCCAACGCAAGACGTGGAATGTCATGACGACTTGTATGATCATGTCCAACATGATCGTAGAGGATGAGCATGATGACAATATCTACGACCAAGCCTTTGATTACGAGCGTGAAAATGTTGAGCCTGAGCATTGACCGACAACTTTGCAGAATTCACCCAACTTCATTACTAAATGCATGATTGAGCAACTCACATTCAACTTCAAAACGATGTGGTTGAGCATATGTGTACTTACCTAGCCAACTTCAAAATGATAGGGATGGGGATACCATTGTCCATTTAACCATCCAACCACAGGTTGGTTCTCAAAAAATCTACATCTAAGACTAGCGATATCCACCGCGGCATGGTAGTTTCACGCGAGAAAGCAAATTTGCATGATTTTTTTCAGGTTGTTGTTATCTTACTGGCTCACGGTCATGCTGGTTGGCAGCATTTCTCACGAGGTTCTCAACTCTGCATCACACTTGCTTCATTCACTTCACTATTGCTTCTGCTGCAAAAGTTAATTAACAAGCTCTCTGTCTTTTCTCCTCTCCTATATTCATACCCCTTTCTTCCTTGCTATATATAGCAAAGATCTTTGCTGTTCACGCTAGTTTTTATCGCTTTTGTCAGAATGTAGCTATGTATGCCATCCAACTGGCCAGCTGTTTAGAGCTGCTACATTCCAGATAAACTAATGTTGTGCCAGCAACATGCATGTGAGAGATTAGAGTAAACTGAAATCTGAGGTATACATTACTAGCTGATCCTAGTCCTAGTGAGGACTCACTAGTACATTGGCAATATAGTTACAAGCTCAGAGTAATTATATTAGCTAAGTGAAAGAATGTACTCTACCTGCAAACACAATTAACACAGCTTCATATATCATCTGATCCTATCCTGTCAGCACGCCATACACAGAACCAAACTAGATATCCTCGTACATGCTTGTGGTCGTGAGGACTAGCTTGTTGCCATGAACAAGCAACAAGTGCAAGGCTTTTCCTTTGCCGATAGGATGTTCACTGTAATTTGATCAAAACATAATGTTATTCTAGAGATCCAGGATGCGGTGCAAGACATTGATCTCAAATCAAGCAACACTTTAGTAATGATGCATCACAATAATGAGCAGAACAAGTATATAAATACCCTGAGTAGTACAAGAGGTGCATAATAGATGAAGAACAAAAAAAATTATAGGTTATGAACATCTACTTCTACAGTACATCTAATCAGCAAGGTCATTTAGAGATAAAAGGCAGGAGCTTAGGCTTTTTACCAGAACTGCATAAATAAAAGAACCAAAAACTACAGGTTGTGTACAACTAGTTCCAGAGAAGAAAAATACAATGCATTAGAAGGCAATGGGTACCTGAAGGTAGTGGGATTTCCGGTGAGCAGTGGTGCGCTATCACCACCAGCAACCCTCTCAAGGTCATCGATGGTCTCTTTGCAGGTGCAGATCGTACTTTGTACTGGCAGAAGCCTTGCTTTATCACATGGTTTACCTTCTTACCGGAGATATCACAAAAAGGTAAGAAGATACATAAAGTTATTATGGATAATTTCTTAGCACAATGTTTTATATTATTGGTTGATTAGTTTTCCATATTCAAACTTTGCCTAATACAATAAAGAAAAATATGATTCAGGCTTCTTTTAGAAGCAAACCACTCAACAAGTTTATACGGAAAATTAGAGACTGGCTGCATCTACATATTTAAGATTTTCAGAATTTATGAGTGATAATGACTAGTATAAGATAATCACGAAAACAACTTTGAATATTATTTACCATTTTAGATTATTTTAACAAATGAAGTAAGTTGGTGAAAAAACCCCGACTTTCTTAACTATTGCTTCCAAT